GAGGACGAGGAGAAGGAGAAGGAGGAGAAGGAATGAGGAGGTGGAGGGGAAGGAGGGAGAGTAGGAAAGTGCTGGGAAGGAAACAGCTCTGTGCTTTGCTTCGTAGTCTTCCTGTAAAGAAACTTTTACCATATCCAGGTACAGACAAAACTGAACTCTCACTTTTTATCAACATTTTCCCTGTAGGTTATCACCGTCCTAATACTAGGGACCCATAGAAGTATTTAATATTAAGACCAAGATGGGGATTTTAGTTGTGTGAAAATAGTAAACGGTGGGCTACAGGCAATTCTCTGTCCCTCTTACCTCTGTTTCCCCATTGGTAAAGAGAGCAGATTGTAGCCAGGTAGTGGCAACTCATGCCTGCAAACTGAAGACCTGAGGATCCCACTCCAAGGCTATTCCATTCCAGAAAATTCGACAATTTTATCTAGACTTAACCACCAAAAAATTCTGGAGATGGAGCTGTGGATCAAGTGGTAAGTGCATCAGTGCACAGCAAAAAGAAAGAAAGGAAGAAAGGATGAAAGGAAAAAAGAAAGAAAGAAAGAAGGAAGGAAGGGAGGGAAGAAGGAAGGAAGAAGAAAATGCTAAGGGACAGTGCCCAGACCCTGTGTTCAAGTACCAGTACTGGTACCAAAAAATAAAAGTGTATGAGCAGGGCACTGGTGGCTCATGTGTATAATCCTAGCTACTCAGGAAGTTGAGATCTGAGGATCTCAGTTCAAAGCCAGCCTGGGCAGGAAACTCCTTGAGATTCTTATCTCCAATTAACCACCAGAAAACTGGAAGTGGTGTTGTGGCTCAAGTGGTAGAGCACTAGCCTGGAGCTAAAAAGCTTAGGGACAGCACCTAGGCCCAGGGTTCAAGCCCCACACCAACCAAGAAAAAAAGGGTATGTGTGTGTATAGGTGTGTATATGTTTGTCGGGGGGAGGGATAGAGACAGAGAAAGAGAGAGAGCACAAGTCATATATATGTGGGTGCAGTCTGTGATTCAGGATGTGTTTGTATCTGAAGCAGAAGGAGTTTGTGGGACAAAGCTGACTGTGCTCCTGGTTGTGACCTTGACTGTGACCTTCCCAAGGCAGAGTTTGCTCTCAAAGGCTCAGCCACAGGCCGTGCCACTCCTGAATGCCTCATCCCAGTCATGAGACACACTTCCTTCACCTGACTGCCCCTGCTGGTGGGTGTTCACCATACCAGCCCCTGACACCAACCATAGCAGCCCTCCTGTGAAGATCTGGCTGAGTGCTCCCAGTTGGCCCCCTGGACACAGAGGCAGAAGGAGGACCAGGGAGTTTTCAGGACTGGTCCTGGATCAGCTTCCTCCTGTTTAAGCACAGGACAGTGCCAGGTTCCCCACAAGGCTGTGACAAGCATGGAGAACTCCAGTGTGATAGGGAAACAGAGTGGGGCAGGTAGCACTACTGCACATTGTCTATAGCTTGCCTCATCTTTGTTCAGTGGTGATAATGAGACCCAGGCAGGCTCCATCCAATGTCTGATGCGCCCAGTTGCTCTTGGATGGTGTCAAGGAGCCGATGGGGTGATTGTGGCCCTGCCTTGGGGCTGAGTTCTTTTCTCTGTCCTGCAGGACAATGCCGTCCTTTTTCTCCTGGGGCTTCCTGCTGCTGGCCAGCCTGTGCTGCTTGTTCCCCGGCTGCCTGGCTGAAGATGTTCAGAAGACTGCTGCTTCCCAGCAGGACCAGGAACACCCAGCCTTTCACAGGATTGCCTTGAAGTTGGACATATTTGCCTTCTGCCTGTACTGGAATCTGTTCGAGCAACCCAACGTAACAGATTTCTTCTTCTCTCCTGTGAACATCGCCGCGGCCTTGGCCATGCTCTCCCTGGGCACCAAGGATGCCACCCACTCTGAGATCCTGAGGGGCCTGGGCTTCAACATCACAGAGATGCCAGAGGCAGACATCCATGCGGACTTCCAGAGCCTCCTCCACACCCTCAACAGGCCCAGCAACCAGCTCAAGCTGACCACGGGCAGCAGCCTATTCATCAACAAGAGCCTGAAGCTCCTGGAGCCGTTTTCAACAGATGTCAAGAACCTGTACCAGTCAAAGGCCTTCACCGTTGACTTCACTGATCCTGAAGAAGCCAAGAAGCAGATCAACCAATACATGGAGAAGGGAACACAGGGGAAAATTGTGGATCTGGTGAAAGACTTGGACAAGGACACCGTGCTTGCCCTGGCGAATTACATTCTCTTTAAAGGTAAAGCTGCACCGCCAGCCCAGCTGGTTCCCATGGAAACACACCAGTCAGTGCCCCCAAAGGGTTAATTGGGAGGCCGATTCACAGAGGAGAGGAGCCTCAGTGAGCAGGTGCCAAAATATGACTGGTAATCCAAACTCTCTTTGTAATGCTCCTCTTAATAATCATATATGCAAATGCAGGTGTCCCCTGATCAGCCAGGAGGGCGGCCTCCCATGTGACATAGAAATTCCATGTCTCCTCTTGTAGTAACTCAGTCCCCAGGGTGGTCAGGATGGCTAAGCCCAGGTCTCCTGTGCTTGACCCAGCTGAGCTCCAAGTCTCAACACAGACACCAGGGTCTCCTGGATCTCCTGCCCTCCCTTAATCTAAGCCCAGCACCTGTGTTCCCATCCAATCCAGGCAAATGGGAGAAATTCAATGCGAATCCCCAGGTTAAACTGAAGACACAGTTCCTGCACGGCGTAATGCAACTGCATTATTGCGACACGCTGTTCACCTGGGTGATGCTGATGGACTCCATGGGTGATACTGCCACCGTCATCTTCATGATGACAGAAAACAACATGCGACGACTCATGGCCATGCTCCTCGTGGACAGTATTGACAAGTGTCTGAGGAGCACCAACGGAAGGTGACGCCTCAGGCAGGGACCAGCCCCCAGCCCACAAGAGCACAGACCTCTTAGCCATGTCAGGGATGGTTGAACTCTCAGGACAGGACAAGGGAGGTATTGCCAGCCCTTGGCCCTAGCTAAGGGTGTGACCTTGTGCTGAAAGACAAAGCCAGTGCTCAGTTCAGGGAGAAGCAGCAGGGACCTGGGAAGAGACAGTGTCAAGAGTGGGAAGCCCAGGGCTGGGAAGGTGGCTCAGTGGTAGAGCGCTTGCCTTACATGCACAAGGCTTTGGGTTCGATTTCTCAGCACCACATAAGCAGAAAAAGCCAGAGTAGCACTGTGGCTCAAATGGTAGAGCACTTGCCTTGAGCTGAAGAGCTGAGGGATAGTGCCCAGGCCCAGAGTTCAGGCCACATGACTGAAAAAAAAAACAAGAGTGGGAAGCCTGTGCTCTGTTCAGAGATGTCCTCCCCAGAGGACAGACCTCCCCCAGACCCACTGTCCAGTGCAGGGGCAGCACAGCAGAACAGGCCACAGCACCAAGGTCTGTGATGGGTTGAACTCTGGCACAGTGGACAGTGGACTAAGGCAGAGAGTCCGGGATGGCCATGGGAACATCTGGCTGCAAAGGCCCAGAACATGGAAGGGCAGCATGAGACAGTGCTGGACACTCAGGAAGGAGGCTCCACAGCTCTGACCCCAGACCAGTGGTTTATCCACTCCTAGGTGTCCATCACCCTAGAGCCTGGCCCTCGGGTCAGCACACACTGGTGCATCAGCAGTGAGCAGGGCCTGCTGCACAGAAGAGTGGTGAACGCTGTGAGACACAGAAACACAGCAGACACAAGGCAAGGCCAACCTTGAGCAGAGGGGTCACCACTGCCTCAGAACCCATTGTAGGGTCTGAGGGCCAGACACTAACAGAGGCCCAGCCTTCAGCATCGGGGGTCATTTTCTCTCCTAGATGAGAGGTGGACAGCACTCCGCTGTTTGTGCACAGGTCCCCAGGATATGAAGTTCAGGAACGTCCCTGGCAGAGGACACAGGTCAGGATGGCCCTGACTCTAAGACATGAGGACTCCACTGGCACTGGGCATAGAAGAAACAAGATTGTAACACACTAAGGAGCTTCTATCCTGCTGTGGGTGGAGCATGGGCACTGTGGGTGGAAAAGCCGGAAAAAAAGCCAGCCTCCCATGGCATTCCTGGCACATTGGGAGAGATGCTGAAATCCTCCTTTGTGATCTTTCCCTCATGGCAGAATTGAAGAAGTGCCCTTGCCCAAACTGTCCATCTCTGGAACCTACGACCTGGAGCCAGTCCTGAGCGCGCTGGGCATCTCCACGGTCTTCAGCAACGGTGCTGACCTTTCCAAGGTCACCACGGATGCCCCACTGAAGGTCTCCAAGGTGAGGTCACCCGATGAGGGCATTTTCCCAGATGGCTTCTGGGTGTTAAGTGGATCTTGGGGTTCATAGCTGGGGCACGGGGCTGAGGACGGGGCCACATCACCACTAAGGTCCAGGCTGAGCTCTGAGGGCTCGTGAGAGGGCGGGTGCAGGAGACAGTGGGAAAGGCAGCCATCCATTTGGCTCATGTGCTGGGAAACTGCTCAGAGGTGTCTCTCAGACCCTCACTCTCTTCTTCACCCAGAGCCCAGGAGTCCTTGGGCTCATTTCTCCACTCAGCTTAGAATTACTGACATCAGAGAATGTTCTAGAGTTTTCCACATGCAGCATCTAGAAGGGCTGTTTCACTACCAAATCTAAATTAGAAACATCAGCCCCTCCCAAAGCCTTTTTTTTGTTCATGAAAGAGAAAATACCAAAAGACATGAGTGCAGCACGTCTGCACACGGTGGGAACAGGGTCCTGTGAAGGTCACCTTCAGACCTGTCCAATGAGCTCCCAGCATTCAATGAGGGGGAGCCACGTGCAGGAGACATGGAGTGCAGGGTGTCTCTACTCTGAGCTCTGGGTGGGAGAGACGAAGGGAGCAGACAGGTGAAGCTAGGGTTGGACAGACAGAGGCCTGTGTGGCCAGTGGTGAGGGTAGGTGGGCAGCAGGACTTTCCTGGTGAGATGCTCCAGGGAGGCCGGCCCTGGAGCTGTCTGCAGCCTGGGTCTGGGCTGGGTGGTGTGCAGAGCATGAGAGCACAGGTCAGAAGCCATCTCCACATCTCTCCTGCAGGCTGTGCACAAGGCTGTGCTGACCCTGGACGAGAAAGGAATCGAGGCCACAGCGGCCACCTTCTCAGAAGCCATTCCCTTGTCTCTTCCCCCTGAGGTGAATAATTCCCTGCCATTCTTCATTACAATCTATGATAAAAAGACTAAGATTCCTCTCTTCCTGGGCAAATTTTCATACCCCTCAGTGCCGTGGCCTTTCTAAGCAGGTCCCTTCCTTGATGGCATTAAACACAGGCCAAGCTGATCCAGGCCTCATTCAGCGTAACCTTTGCATCTGTCACGATGTGGTCTCTGTGTCGTCCTTTGCACCCGGGAGCTTGTGTGGATTCCAGGTCCCCAGTCCCTCACTGTCCTTCACATTCACGAGTCCCTGTGCTGGGCATGCAGGACTGGCACAGGACCACGTCAGAGACCTCAGTCCATGGCCCTGAATCCATCTGAACCCTAGAACTGCATTTGGTCTGGGAATTCTGGGGTCCTATGGCTCAGACACCAGCATTAGGCCCAGGATCCACCACGTCCCAAGTCCCTGTGGGAGTGCTCCCCACACCCACTCCCTCCCCACAGCCACTTCCACAGAGATGGCTGTGCCCACCCAATGCTGCCTTCTCTGTTCCCGGAGCCTCCAGCCCAGCCTTGGTATCCATGCTCCTGTCCAGCCCTGGCATCAGTGGTGGCCTCTCTTGCCCCTGAAGGGAGAGGACCCCATCCCTTCTCCTCCCCTTGTCAGCTCAGTCCTGGCCTGGACTCCACAGCTGTTAAGCATAGCCCAGGGAGGTGGGCAGAGCCTTCACTCAGCTCTGTCCTTGTGATCCAACTGGTGACACTCAGCTACTGAGGCTCTCACCTCTTCTCCCCTGTGGCTCTATCATGGCCACTGTCATACTACCAGCTAATTCAAGTCCCACTTGCCAGACAGTTACCAATGGGGGCACATCGGCCATGGAAATGGCTGAGGACTGATAAGCCTCTAACAAGGAGAGAATCAGGGGATGGGCATAATTGAATTATTATTCAGTCTTTTACAGGAAGGAAGGCAGCAAAGGTTGGGTTATTGTTCTTATTTCAGGATAGAATTGTTCATTGCCATTGGACTGTTTGCTAGCGACTTCATTCTGTCTTCTATCTGGGAACAAACAACTGAGAGTGGAGTGCCCAAACCAAGGCCATTGTGTGTGTGTGTGTGTGTGTGTGTGTGTGTGTGTGTGTGTGCACACATACAGGACTATCTGTATATGTATATGTGTGTAAGTACACACATGCCTGCTCTGTGTGTGTATGTGCATAAGTATATGTGTGTGTGCACTTGTGTGGGTTTAAGTGCACACATGCCTGCTCTGTGTGTGTGTGTGTGTGTGTGTGTGTGTGTGTGTGAAGGGTGAAAAACAAGGAAAAATAGGTCAGCTTTTTAAAGAACTTTAACTGCTATAGTTGTCTTTCCATAGAGCCTTTTAGAAATAAAAGGGAATGTCAAGGCTCCATCTTTCAACCTCTTTCAAAGCCTCAGAACGCTTCATTCCCAGGAAGTTGTGTGAAAGAGCAGTTTTAAAAACAAACCACAGCTCCTCCCTGGAGGCCAGTAGATGGCCTGATTTCACCAAGCTCATTAAGAACCACTGCTTTAGGTTGACCAGTCATTTTGAAGACAACAACACTGAGGCACAGGGAGATTAAATGCAGCTCATTGCAATGCAAAGACACACCGGGACATGGGCAGTGCTCCTGCAGGTGCTGCTGGCTTTGCAGCCTGAGAGGACTCAGGAGCCCCAGCCTGGTCGGGCTCAACGGTCCTCCTGCCAAAGGGCACTCATTGTCATGAGGCAAACCCACTGGGGTAGGGAAGGAAGAGAAAACAGAGAGGCAGAAGGGAGAATGAGGTAAGGGCTGGGGTTGCTCCGGAGGCAGGCAGGACTGTGGGCCCAGATGTGGTCCTACTCCATCTCCCCAGTGTACTGCAGATGTAG